TCATAATCAACATAGAAGCAAATATTTCACCTCATTAAATAACATGAAATATTTCAAAATTCATAATTTCTTAATGGACTTTGTGGAAACACACACACATTTACACACACTCACACACACACACACACACACACACACACACACACACACACACACACACACACATTGTAAGGTGGAATGAGAAAAAGAATATATCCAAGCAGTATTAAGTTTTGGTACATTGTCTTTTTTTAATTCTTCACTCATATACTTATGTGCTCTGCGCCCGTCTGAAAAACAGTATTGCAGCATGTTGTGCTTCTTTCCATCTGTCTAAATAATCCTCATCCTTTCTGATCTCTGCCTGTCTCCCTCCACTTTCACTGTGCATTGATAATTAACATAATTAACATTAATATTAAATCTGTGTTTGCTTGCCAGTCAATGTATATGCAGAAGTGAGCAGTGAAGCTCTGCAGTTCAGTTATTGGTGACTACACAAATCCAGTTTTCTTTTGGACACTGTGCAAAGTGAAAGTGCTAAAAAAAAAAGTGAGCATAAGGAACTTGTTTATATAGAAAAACAATATAGTATGAACAGTGTAGCAAATTATTTATCTCAGCTTCTGCATATATATAAATACGTATATATATATATATTATTCCCTGCTTCTGCATACACATATGTGTGTATATCTTTGTTTTTCAGCGGTGTTTAAGCAGAATCCAACTCTTAAAGTGTTTTCCTCCTCTTCTGATGAGGATGATACCTATACTGCCTCCTGCTTTGCCAAAGAGTTTGCACCAAAGAAACATGGCATAAAATGGCTGAAAAACGGAGCAGATATCACCAGCAAAATAGAGCTGACCGAAACGGTTTCTGACTCAAAAAATGCGGCTGGAAAAACACTGTACCATGCAACAAGTTTTCTCACAGTAAATTCCAGTGACCTGAATGATAAGACTACATTTACATGTCTGTTTACTGGAGGAGTAGATGGATCTTTGAATAAAACTGTGCCTTACAAAGTAAAACCAACATGTGAGTAACAGATTTGTTTTCTTTTAAAAAAAAATATACATTTATATTTTTAAATGTGGTTTTGTAATAATTTTGCTCACTAACTGTTTTTTGCTTCATTACTCAGGTCCTGATTGTGTTACATCTAATGTGAAAGTAGAAATCACTGGCCCCGCAACTGAGGACATGCTTTTCCATAAAAAAGGAACTCTAACATGTCGAGTCACAGTACAAAAAGATGAACCTCAAATAATATGGGAGGATGAGAAAGAAGATGTGATAGCAAGTAAACCAATGATTAAAGAAAATGGGGAGACATACATGTCTAAACTTGACATCACCTATGACGAATGGAGCAGGGGGGTAAAGCGCTATTGTGTTGTTCACCACTCAGATTTACTCACACCTTCGAGGGAACCTTATGAAAGGGAATTCGGTAAGAAAAATACTCTGAAACAGTGTTTAGTCCTTATTGACATCTTGATATCAAAGACATCATAACTGTTGCTTCTCAGTCTGTATGTGTGTGTCTATGTCTGTGTGTGTGTGTGTGTGGATTTGACTTCCTGTATTATTTTGGTTAATGTATGTGTGGTACAAAGTCTCATGTTGTTTCATGCTTACAGGAGGAAACCCTCAGCGTCCGTCAGTGTTTATGCTCCCTCCTTTAGAACAAACTAACAAAGAAGAGGTGACCCTGACTTGCTTTGTGAAAGACTTCCTCCCTAAGGAAGTTTTTGTGTCTTGGCTTGTGGATGACGAGGAAGCAGACTCAAGTAGTTATGCTTTTAATACCACAGAACCCATTGAAAACAATGGATTCTATTCTGCGTATGGCCAGTTGTTTGTCAGCCTTCACGAGTGGAAAAACAATGCTGTCTATAGCTGTGTAGTGTACCACGAATCTGTGGTTAACACAACTAGAGCTATTGTCAGGTCCATTGGGTACAGAACATTTGACAAAAACCGCATTGACCTCAACATGAACATCAACCAAGACTCAAAGTGCTCGGCCCAGTAGATGTTTCTCATGTCTCTGTCTTCTGCTGTTTGTTGTTTAATGTCTGTTGCTTGTGATATGACATTGTGTTTGTGTGTTTCAATGCAGATTCAAAATAAAAAAAAAAAAACAGTTTGCAACTCTGTTGATGTTTATTGTATGCAGTTCATGTCTTCATTTAAATCATATTTTGAGCTTTATGTTTATTGTACAGTCACAGTGCTATCCTAATGTAGACAGTAGCATGTTTGGGTTATTTACACAATAATTATAAAATAATACAAAATAATAATATAAAAAAAATGTAATATCTAATTTCTACTAGAATAATACAACAGTACTAAATGAGGTATTTAGGGAACAGTCTATGTTTATTTAATATGCAGATAGTTCAGTAACACTGCTTCTGTGACTTGTCTTTGTGTGCCTGTGTGTCATCTACTGAGTCTTGCACCCCTTAAAAACAGATGACTGCTCAATACAACCCTTTAAATCTCCCAGGCAAATAAACAATACTGGAGTCTTTCTAAAGCAAGTCAGAAGTCAGGATTGTAGGTCTGAAAGGGCATGAAATTCTATTCATCTTCATGGGACACTCACTCGACATCTGTCAGCTTATTTTTTTCTTTTCTGTCATTATAACTTCCAGCTGAGTTGACTGACTATGAATCTGCTATAGCATATAGAGTCAAAACATATGTATTTAACCCACAACAGAAATAAATAAAATCTATAAGTTCCCATCGTACAATGTGCGTTTCAAAGTGGGTTGTGAAATGTCCAGTTATTTGACACAATAACGTTTGTTCATCTAGGTCTTCTCATCGGTGACTATCTGGAGCTTGATCACCCTGGACTATCTGGAGACGATAACATAGCAAGCGTAGCCATCGTCTTCATCCTTCTCTTCCTCATCACTCTGCTGTTAATCTTTGGAACAACTGTTATCAAGGTAATCAGAAATTAATGTGCTGACATTGTGTGTAGATTTAACTCAGCAATGAGCAATATGACAGATTACATTCATCAAGCACGTAGCCATGATAGAAAAAACTAAAACTCATTTAGCATTCTGCATTTTAACCATGAGTCAGAATAACTCAATTATTGTAAAAACAACTAAAAAAATGCAGATTACAGAAAAAATTGTATCTATGCACATTAGAAGCATTTAGGATTATGTCAGTTTAATAAACCAATGTAATATTTAGTTAATACAATTAAAAAAGGAAGAAAAAGGTTCACGTTATCTCAGTGAGGGATTACCTACTTCACAATTCAGCTGTTGTTGTGAATTTAATTATCTTTATACAGTTATTGCTAATATCATATAAACAATATATATCAGCTAAAATTCACTTAGAGTGCTGAAATTGTATAAAAACATAATTTAATAGTTGAATGTTCAAGGGCCAACTGATATCATACTGATATCGCCCTACTCAAAGATCTAGCTCTATGGACAAAGACAAGGGTTTTAAGTCAGAAGCAGCAAGTGTAATTTCTATTACACTGCATATTGGAAGACCATAAATACAAAATCGTGTCAGATCAAAATGAAGCTCTTTCAAAATCAGTGTGGCATGTGTGGTTGATTACAATATTTAAGATATGGCGACAAAAGTGATTATCAAACTCATTAAATTGTGTGATATTGTGTGGAATAATCTATGCCAATGGCAAAACATATAAAATATGCTCATATCGCTGATTTAAACCAATTTATATGTGTAAGTTAAAAGATAATTACACTACATAATGTTACTATTTGAATTCATTTTTCTTTATATCCCAGTGTAGCATGTATATCCCAGTGCTTTATGTCCAGATGGCAAGTTTCTCAATGCCTTAATAAATTGAATGCGTATTATTGAAAGTAAATTAATTTAGAAATTGTCTTAATACTGTGTAACAATCTCTTATAAGCAGCTTTGTCAACTGTTAGTTTGACCTCCTAAGTGATTTTCAGCTGATATTAAAGTAGTGTTCCTTCTAAGTTTATTCAGCAACTATATTTAACCAACTACAAAAGAAACGCACAGCATTATAAGTTTCCTGTGTATTGATACATTTATTGATATATGTGTAGCAATGTAACTTCATGCATAAACACTATTTATAATGAAGTAGTGGTGAGCAGTATGAAATAAATCCTTTTGCTCCAAGTTCACTATTTTTTTTTTTTTAACAGGTCAAATAAAACAAATGGACTGTGAAAGGACCGTTGAGTGTGGTGAAAAAAATATTTCTCAAACATTTTTTTTCATATAATCTCATACTATCATGTAAGTAATCACAACTGCCTTTTTTAAACTGCAAAAGCTTTATCTGTCTTTAAAAATAAATGTTTTAATTAAGATTAAATTTTGTCTTTCTCTTGCTTTATTTTGAAATTGTTTACATTATTTGAAGGTTGATCTGTAAAAGTTTGATGCATTTTAAAGATTATTTATATGTATTTCATATTTTGTCCTTTTTTAAACTCTAATATACAGTTCTGTTCATCACATCCACAGCATCTGGAATCAGCAGCCCATGCTATACCAAATATGCAAAGTGGTAGATTTTACAGTCGGTTGCGTTTTACTCTATTATTAGAGGATTTGAGAACTAAAACCTTTGGCAAAGTCATAAGATGTGAAATAAAATACATGTGGTGCACATGCAAACTGACATGAGAAATGTAAATGTGCAAATTGTTTCTCTTACTGGCATAACCACACCTCACACCTGCTGTTTGTGATGCTCCGTTGCTCTTTGCATTCTCTCACTTCTGTATTTTGGTACTTTTTTGAGACCTGGGTGTTACTCAATGCTTCCGCTTGCTGCTTGCCCTGATCACTCTGCCCTATCATGCATAACAACTGTGCAACAGACTTCCTGCCCTATCTTCACCTGACACAGCAACACCAAACAATGTCAAATTATAACTCTGCCATCTAGCCTAAAGACAAACACACTACACTTAAAACTGAAACAGTTCCTCATTTACCAAAATCTGAAGGTATGTATAACTGAGATGACATTAACTTTTTTTCTTGCTGCGTTAACACATAATATTTATAATTATGCATGTAAAGTCAAACTAATATTTGCTCTTTCTCAGTGCCTCGGATTGTCTTACCACACATCACATTGTACTCAGTCTGGGATGGGGAATTTGGAATCTCAACAGTAAGGCTCATCTGCACATTGAGTGGCTTCTATCCAGACAACCTGAATTTGGGGTGGATCCTGGATGACCAACAGGGTCAAATCAATGAGGCAAGCACAAGGAAGCTACAAAGTGCAGGGGGAGAAAAGACAACCTTCAGCCTGAGCAGTGAGCTTAGGCCAAATATGACATTGTGGGCAAAAGGCTCAACTTTTACCTGCAAGACCAATGGTGATCAATATAACAGAACAATAAACATTTGTCACAGTAAGTATGTAGAGTTACTGACTCAAAGAACACATTTATCATGCACAAATTCTTAATATGTGAAACAAATTAAGATCAGTCTTTAGTTAAAAGTTTGTTTTATTAGCTTGCCATATTAATAAGCAATTTTTCTTATAATCCACAGAAATTCACCTTTATTGTAACAATGTCAGACTCTGTTTGTTTGTTTGTTTTTTACTTTCCTATTAACAGCTCTTCCAAGGTCCTCTCCCTTCATTCAAGTGGAGATTCCCAGCTTCAAGACTGTAATTACCTCAAATACTGACATGCAAGCAACGTGTTTGGTCAACACTTATTTTGATGCCGTGATCACCTGGCTGATTGATGGCAAAGCCGTGCCTGAAACAGCGACCCAAGAGAAAAACGCAACTCATATAATCAGCAATCTTTCAGTTTCCTCGACTCAATGGGAGAACATGAAGAATGTAACATGCAAAGCAGAGCATAAGTGCTTCACATCTGCTGAGAAGACCATAAATATTGCAGGTAAGATGATACGACAATAGGAAAATCAGACATGTTATGACCAAAGAGCAATTAAAATAATGTTTTTGCATGATCATCCAGGTTGTCCAGTTAATACTCCTTCGGTGGAGATCAGGCGATCTCTCACAGATCTGCCGAAGAGAGACCGTGCAGTGTTCGAGTGTGACATCAAACAACTGTCCTCATGTGACCTCTTCATCGCCTTAGAAGTCAATCATAGTCAAATTCTTGAAAAAAAACATTATAATTTTGCTGAAGGCTCAGTAGCCAATCTTTCAATCAGTAGTCAATTCATTGTCCCTCAGAAGTACTGGAAGAAAGACCAAACCTTTACCTGCAAAGTGATTCAAGGCTCTTCTAAAACTTTTCACTCAAACTCCATCAGCAATATTTTTGGTGAGGAGATTTCCCTTTTTTTCCCTTTGTAGAAGCTGATTTATCTTTGTTGTTTTATAGTTACATGGTTTCTATTAAATAGACTAATAGATGCACTGATTTATGCCCCTTTAGTGGACCCATCCATGGAGCTTCTTCTGGTTCCCAGTAAAGGTTCAGAATCACAGACTCTTTCATGCTCTGGATGGAGCTTCAACCCTCACATTAAATGGTTGTCTGAGTCTCTGGAAAGGTCTCCAAATTCCACTAATATCAGCATGAGTGTAGATGGACGTGTTAGAGTAACGAGTCAACTTGTAATTGATCAATCTGAGTGGAAAAAAGGGAATAATTTCACCTGTGAAGTGTCTGACAGGTCTCTGAATTCAAGTATCACAAAAACAATCAGTCTCTGTTCAGGTACAGTGAAAATTCTCTTATTGTGATAATCATTAAGAATACAATAAGACTATTTTTAAATTAGAAATTTGGATATGAGACATTTTATAACTGCTCCGTGGTTGTTGCATATTATTTTTATTTATTTATGTATTCATTTTTAAAATTAATTTTATTTTTTATAGAAACTCCATCATCATCACAGCTAGTTGGGGTTTATGTCCAGGGACCACTGCCACTGAGAAATGAGACTGAGAACAAAGAACATGTGACTATTACCTGTCTTCTGGTCGGCCCTAATCTTAATGATTTCTCCATCACCTGGAGAGTAGGTGGCAGCAAAATTCCCGAGAGTTATGGTGTCCTAACTTATCCCCCAGTGAGTCATAACAATGGAACAGAGACTCGACAGAGCTTCCTTAAAGTGTCA